GTTTTTTATAGAATAAAGGTGACTCACGAGCACACACTCCACCTGATGGTAAGTGGATGCTGTGGCCCATAGACATCTACATTTATCTTCAATCATGAGTCAAAATGCAGACGAATTGTCACCCTTGAGGACTGAGATGGAATGCCTCGTTTCCAGTAAAAAGGATTTCCGGTTCTCTACACTCACCATACGAAACACAGCGGCATTAAGCGGCTATTTAACACTAGTATTCTGTGAGAGCGTGTTCCCGCCCCGGTCGAGCCGACCCATTCGTGCTGCAACCACAATACAGCTGCAGCATGACTCTACCACTTAAAAAGTGTTTTGATCTAAATTAAAAAAAAATTGTCTGTGCTGTGGGCATTTATATAATTAATTATTCCGCATCTCGATAATGACTAATTTATGTAGGTACTTAAAATGTTTTCTCGGTACAGCAAATTCCTCGTTGAGAACATTGAATGAGAAAACAAACTCTTTCAGTTGAAAGTTAGTATTTTTGATCCTAAAAACGTAAAAAACGTAACGTAAACGTAAAAATAAATATTGAGAGAAGATATAGAGGAAAATTTTTAGCTCCTCTCAATATTTATTTTTTAATTCAGAGGACTTTAATATCTTGTGATTGTAGTTTTCTATTGATTGTACAAAGTAAATGCTTTCAACTGCTCGGAAATCGATTGAATGTATTGCGTTTATAACTTAAATTACTTAAAAATATATATTATTATTTCTAAATATGTCTTAACCTTTTATAGTATAGTGTATTCAAATAGTATATACTATACTATGTCCATATACGAATATACATACTTAACTCGATTCATAACATTAACAATCTGTTGTCACTATGGTAATCGGAATTACCCCTTAGCGGTTATTCCGTTTATACACCCTAAATCAGACACCTTTATTATATGGAGAAGTGCCAACCCATACCCGGTAGGGGAGAGGACGTTACTAAAAACGTGACCAACTGCTGTAATCTATTATGATGGGCAAAGTAGCGGGTAAAAGAAGTGTTTGTAGAAGGAAAATGTGCTGGCTCTGTAACATCCGGAAATGGACCGGGAAAAAGAAAGTAGAAGATCTGTTCAGGCTATCCCTGAACAAAGAAGGATTTAGGAGGAAGACTGTCGACCTTCAGTAATGGAGAGGCACTTAAAAAAGAAGGAGAGGACATCCCTCTCCCCGCAGTCGATAAACTCACATCCGAAGTGGGCTCGCCAAGCCCACTTGGAGTGGTCACCTTGGGCCGGCTCTTTACCTCGTTCTAGCCATTTGGTTCCTCTTAATTCACCGTGGGTGACTAAGCCACGGCTATTAAGCCTGCTACGACAAGGTGGGGGGTGGGGCGTTTAGGGGAGAAGGAAACAGCCACCCTAGGGTTAATAATCGGAAACGCGTGTTCATCTGTCTATACCTAAGTAATGGTGATGATGAAACCGTTGACGTGAATACGGCGACTCTGATCGTCAGGGCTTCGATGCTCATTTATAAGCAATATTCGGAGAGTTGCAGTAGCTCGGGGGCTAAGCGCATACTGTAAATTTGACTCACAGGCTCGATCCCCGCTAGCACCAATTGAATTGATGACAAAGAAATTGTTCATTGCTATTTAAGTGCTTGTTAACTACATACTCAGCGGTAAAGTAATATAGTGAAGTCTTCAACAACATGCCATGGGTCAGTCTAGCGGACATTTTCTTGCCAAAACATCTCTCAGAAAATGAAATTTTGCCTAGAAGTAGGACGTATAGAATCTGTAACTTTAACTTTTCTTTATTTATGAATAAGTTATTAACTCGCGTAATTTTCGCCTAGGAGTACGTCTGGGTGGATACCTTTCTCTCTTTATCATTTATATAGCCAAATAGCAGTGAAGGGTAGAGAGTCAGTGTGAGTACAGACTGTGAGACATGTACTCAGAGGTGACACCACATCTGTGGGCTTCGTTATTTGATGTTGGCGGCACGGACACCTTCGTGGACTGCAGTAGCCACTCACCATCATGTGGACTGAAATTAGTTTATTACTTTATTTTCAAATAAAACATGATGAGGTATGCGGATCCTTACCTGACGACAACTTAACTCAAGTTTATTGGTTTGTGCGGTAAGAAGCGCCCAGCTAAGCAAGAGTAGAGTATAGTAGGGTGAGTACGTGGTGTGGAGGGTTGCTTGTGCGTCGCGTCTGACTGCTGTCGCGGCAGCTGTCCTAACGTAAAATATCTTCTACTTAACTTCAAACGTTAATTTCCTCTTTATTAACGAATTAAGACGAGAACGGGATTACATTAAAAAAGGAGGCTACATATTTATTTTTAGAGAATATGGATGACTAACAAGCACACAATTCACCTGATAGTAAGTGGATGCTGTGGCCCATGGACATCTATATTTATCCTCGATTAAGAATCAAAACGCAGATGCGTTGTCTCACCTGAGGACTAAGATGAAATGCGTCGTTTCTAGTAAAAAAAGGGTTTCCGGATCTCTACACTCACCATACGAAACACAGCAGCATTAAGCTACTATTTTACTCTGGTATTCTGTGACAGCGTGGTCCTTCCCCGGTCAAGTCGATCCATTCGTGTTGCAACCAAAATATAGCTGCAGCGTGGCTCTACCATATTTTTATGCATTGTCGTTTTTGAGGACTAATATATAATGTCTCGATTCCAGTGAAAAGGAGTCTCCGGTTTTCTCTACACTCACCATACGAAACACAACAGCATGAAGCTGCTATTTTACTATGGTATTGTGTAAGAGCGTGTTTCTGTCCGATCGAGTGATCCATATGTGCTACAACTATAATATAGCTGCAGTACAGCTCTATCGCGTTGATACGCGTTGTCGACTCCAAGAATTACGTTGGATTGTTTTACAGTAACTATTCCGGTTCCTCATAACCTTCAGATTTGCAAGCGCATTGCTACTTGGAGGTAAAATAGTTCAAAATGTTGTAAGTCGGACTGCCAGGCAAGAACTGAGTCCTATAGTTTTCATATTTGTTATGTCTTATTCTTGAAGATCTTTACTTTGAATTTTCTTTATATATTTTATAAAGCTTGAAATATATAGGTAACATTGCAAGTCTGTTTCTAGAGTGTGAAAATAGTCACATTTATATCAAGGTGCGGAAATGCCAATGGTTCATCGATTACTCCCGACAGGAAGACAAAACTAGTTCTATAAATCTACAAATGGATATGAACGACTATCGTCGCCAACTAGAGAGAATTAAATTACCTTGATCAACCACAGGTAAGGTAATAATAGCAGCTATTAACTGATCTATTGATAATTAAACTTTTAAAAGTAAAGGCCGACTTTAAAGAGTTACAAAGAGTATTATATCTAATTCTTAAAACCAGTTGACGTTGTAAATAATTATTAGCCCCTATTATGTCGTTTTGTCTTTGCGAATTAATGGTTTTTCCATATATTGTGGATCCCATCATCAGATCTTGACCAAATTTATACGAGATCACTTCTAAGGTACGCTCTTTGTGCGTAAATGAAGTGGTAAAATCAAGAATTTTGTAGAACCGACTTCAATCTAAATAAAATAAGAATATCATCAAAGTAGTCGAAGTCAATCAAATACGTATTATTAAGGATAACTCAAAAACTACTGGTCAGATCATCAATCATCAAATCGCTTTACCCAGAAAAAGTTCTGAGGTAATACACATAAAAGAAAATACAGTCGAATTGGGAACCTTCCCCTTTTTTGAAGTCTGTTGAGAAATAATTGAAATCAAACTACGTGGTAATTATTTATTGCTTATGTAAAAAGCATTCCGCTGATTTGAAAACCTTGTTTATTTTTGACGAAGGCCGTTGAAAAGAAAAATTTATAATTTAAACAGCAAATATTATCGGTCTAATTCTTTATTCATTATGCCCGTGTCTCCGACATTGCTTTCTAATCTTCCTCTAACCTTATCATTTGAGTGATACATCAAGCACGAAATAAGGTGAGAATAAAGCTACGTAGAAGAAATTTTACGCTGGTATTCTTTGACGTGCTCCTTCCCCGATCGAGCCAACCCATTCGTGCCATAATACGGCTGCAAAATGGCTCTATTACGTACTGCATGCTGCAGTTGGTTTAGATGTAAAATATGAATCAATATTTTTTAATAAAGCCGCTTAAAATACCACCAGCAGCAGCCCAGCATAATACATACATATTTAGCATCGCGTCTGCAATCCTGAGGGGGTAGGCAGATTCCAAAGAGCAGCGATCTACTTTAATCATTTTAGTCAAACAATATCGACCAATAAAGAAATTAGCTAATTTATCGGCGTCCTGAAGCTTGGAACCGGGCGGCAGGAAACAAGCTTCAGGACGCTGATAGTTTAGGTAATTTCTTTTTACAGTGAAAATAATGCTAATAAAAAATAAAAAAAACATAAGCCCTGCTTTATAGCTAGTTCAGTTAGTACGCAAAGTTTCATGATCTTATTTAAAATATTTTATGAATAATAGCGGTTTATTGTTCAGTTTGGAGGTAACTTTGGATTTTTTTCTATCGAGAAAATTTTACAGAATCATGTTTTCGTCTGACATAGTACTTAACATTTATCCTCAACTTTACCATATATTTATTTCAAAATTAATGCTGCAACATTTTCGGCATAACGGAGGATCTTGCTAAGTCATTTGAGGTAATATTTTCCCTTAAATGAACAAATTAATATAAGTACCAGACTAACATGAGACAATCATCATTACACATTAATTAAAATTAATAATAATAATAATAATAATAATAATAAGGCGTAGGGAAGTGACGACCCCATCGCCCACTGACGTAACGGTTATGTGACAAAACCGCTACGTCAGCGCAGTCAGTCAGCACCTTGCCAAGAGGTGTTAGTGCCGTGCCTCGGCAAAAATTGAAGGTGCAAAGGCCCGCTTGTGCACATGGCCTCACCATGAAACGGCGCCGGGTCTGGGCGTCTCCCGCTAAATGACGCCCACCACTATGGATGATGGAATACGGAAGAACGCGCAAAGGGCCGCTGCCTGGAGGTCGCCAGGGCGCGTCTGGAGCTGGCGCTGGACGCGGCAGCATGCGAACCGCCAGCCGAGCGCGAGGTGCTGCACGACCACCCAGCAGCCCCTCGCATCCATCATCCCCACCAGCTGGCTTGGTGTCGGCAGGGTCTTCGCGGGCCCAGCAATCGGCACCCGCCTCTGGTGGAGTACGCCGCATGCGTTGGACAACCCAGATGAACAGCAACGCATTGCGGGCGTATTTTGGGGCGAAAGGGGGAGAAACTGGATGTTTGGCGTATCGGGCTAGGATGCATCGTCTTTTTGCTGAGCTGGAGCCATCTTTAACCGTCACAGAGCAAAACCTGGCAGACCGAGTTCGGTATATCTTGCGCTCAAATATATTTGATGTCGCCGAACTCGAACGGCTACGACGTGAGGCTGTTCCCTCGTCGGATGAGAATGCTACGGCTGAGGATGCGGCGCCACAAATGGTAGAGCAACCCGCAAACGTGGATGCCGCCGTGAATACCCCAGTTGTGGTTGATTCAAACGATGATGGAACAGTCGCCCAGGAACTGGAATTAGAGCATATGAGGAGTACATTGGAAGAGGCGATTGTGGAAACGCGCAGTACGCCTCTCGAAAATCGACCGCGACTTCCCCGCATAGCCCTAAGCAAGCGGAATCGGGCTGTCGTGAGGGCTCTGAACCCAATGCTGGTGACCTATTTGGAAGCCAGCCGGGACCTTTGCGAGACGGACTCAATTCTTTTTGGCGCCGCGCTGGCAGTCTGCCGTATCATAGGCGCCAAGGTTTCCACGGCTGGACGCGCTACTGGCCATAGTAGCGCTATCCCAGCATGGAGAAGAAGAATTGAGGAACGTATCGCAAAGGCTAGAGCTCTCATCGGCAGACTGATATGCTTCAGATCAGGCAACAACAGGCCAAGAATTGTGCGCACCGTCAGGATGGCGTTTGCTGGGACAAATGTCAGTTTGTCCCAGCCGGATATAACGCAAAAACTGACGGAGCGCATAGATGATCTGAAGCAGAGAATCGCTGCTTGGGGAAAACGGATTCGGCGATATACCGAGAGGTCGACACGGTTCAACCAGAATCGTCTCTTCCAGAGTGATCAGAAGAGGCTCTATGAATCATTGGAGCGACCAATGGTAAGTGGAACGGGTCCAGCACCGAATCCGTAGCATTCTGGCGCGGCCTGTGGTCAGAGCCCGTAAACCACAGCGAGGGCCCTTGGACGGAAGTTGTGGCGAGTCAGTGTGCGGGTATTACGCCCATGGACCCCGTCATCATAACGCCGGATGACGTAGCTGAGGCGGTCCGTAGGGCCCCGAACTGGAAAAGTCCGGGGCTTGACGGGCTGCATCACTACTGGCTGAAGGGGTTCATGGTGTGTCACTCTGTGCTTGCCCGACAGTTTCAAGAGGCTCTCAACCAGAAGTCGCTCCCAAGCCTCTTCACTACTGGGATCACTCATTTGGTTCCTAAAGACCAGGGTACCACAGACCCGAGCAAATACCGCCCCATCACGTGTCTACCGACCATATACAAGACACTAACATCCATTTTGAGCGCGAGAATCACTTGTCACCTGGACTCAAATCAGGTGATGTCGCGCGCTCAAAATGGATGTCGGGGCGGTGGTCGTGGAACCAAGGAACCACTCCTCATTGACGCGGTCATTGGCAAAGTGGTGAAACGCTACCGTCGGAACTTCTCCGCCGCCTGGATAGACTACAGAAAGGCATTCGACTCGGTGCCCCATACATGGCTAAAGAGAGTCCTCGAGCTGTACAAGATAGACTGTACAGTTAGAGACTTCCTTGAGCAGTGTATGGGGCAGTGGAGTACGATCCTTTGTCATCTGGGCGAGCGGATGATGGCTGCGGAGAACCACATAAGGATAAGAAGGGGTATCTTCCAGGGCGATTGTCTGAGTCCAATCTGGTTCTGCCTCTCTCTGAACCCTCTCAGTACCTTACTGGAGGGCTCCGGGAGGGGATTTCAGCTACGGAGAGGAGGGACAAAAGTGACCCACCTTTTCTATATGGATGACCTCAAGTTATTCGCCTCCAGTCGCTCCCATCTTATGGAATTGCTAAACATCACTTGTGAATTTAGCAATTCCATTGGAATGGAGCTTGGGACGGATAAGTGTGCGGTCCTCCATGTTGAAAGGGGAAGGGTTGCTAACTCTGAGGGCGTAGACTTATCTATGCCCGTCAACTTAAGGACCCTTTCCGAGGCTGAAACATACCGATACCTGGGTATGTCACAAAACATCGGTATCGATGAGACTGGTATGAAACAGTCAGTTTGCGACGTGTTTTATGCACGCTTGACCAAAGTGCTTAACAGCCTTTTGTCCGGTGTGAATAAGGCACACGCATATAACGGCTGGGTCATGCCTGTCCTCATGTATACCTTTGGCATACTCAGGTGGACTCAGACTGAACTTAACGCCCTGGATAGAAAAGTCCGCACTACCATGACGTCCCATAGGATGCATCATCCGAGATCGTCGGTAATGAGGCTGTACTTGTCGCGGAAGCATGGTGGTCGTGGCTTCTTGAGCGCGCTCACCATGCATAATCGCGAAGTGTGCAGCCTCCGTGATTACTTCCTGGCGAGATCGGATGATCCATTCTATAAGGACGTCATTTCTTGTGATAAAGGACTTACCCCTCTATCCTTAGCCAACGAGCAATGGCAAGACCCGGCAGTGCAGAGCATTTCCGACCGAGAGACCGTATGGAAGGAGAAGGAGCTCCACGGGAGGTTCTACAAGGCTCTACATGAGCCTTTCGTAGACACAGTAGCCTCCCTCCACTGGCTACGCTTTGGTGATCTCTTCGGGGAAACCGAGGGTTTTGTCTGTGCAATACAGGATCAGGTTATTAAGACCAACAACTATCGGAGATACATCCTAAAGGATGGCACCGTCGACATCTGTCGAGCTTGTCGCCATCCCGGTGAGTCACTTAGGCATGTTATCTCTGGTTGTTCGGCGCTTTCTAACTCTGAGTACTTGCACAGGCACAACCTAGTAGCCAGAATTCTACACCAGGAGCTCGCTCTGAAATACGGTCTCGTGGATCGGAAATTGCCGTATTACAAGTACTTGCCGGAAGCCGTGCTCGAAAATGATCGCGCCAGGCTCTATTGGGACCGGGCCATCATCACAGACAGGACTATTCTTGCGAATAAGCCTGATATTGTGCTGATGGACCGGGCACAGTCAAGGATATTTTTGGTCGACATTACCATTCCGTATGACGAGAACCTCGTGAAAGCCGAAACAGACAAGCAAACAAAATATCTGGACCTGGCTCACGAGGTGACCGACATGTGGGGTGGTCTGCCGACCGAAATTATTCCTGTAGTCGTCTCTGCAAACGGGCTAATCCCAGTCAGCCTCTCGGGTCATCTGAGGCGGCTGGGACTACGTGGCGGACCGCTCCAGGTTCAAATGCAGAAGGCGGTGCTCCTCGATACCGCCCGCATCGTCCGCCGGTTTCTTTCCCTTTCCCCCTAACCCTCGGCCGTTTGGTCTCCCCTGCCGAGGGCCTCCATCTGGTTGGGCTTTTATTTATTTATGTACTTTTATATTTATTTTATGTTATTGATATTTATGTATATTTATTTTTTCATTTTCATTTATAATTATATATTTATAGAACCCAACCAGATGAGAAAACTATATAGATACCCCATAATAATAATAATAATAATAATAATAAATGGAACGCGCAAAGGGCCGCTGCCTGGAGGTCGCCAGGGCGCGTCTGGAGCTGGCGCTGGACGCGACAGCATGCGAACCGCCAGCCGAGCGCGAGGTGCTGCACGACCACCCAGCAGCTCCTCGCATCCATCATCCCCACCAGCTGGCTTGGTGTCGGCAGGGTCTTCGCGGGCTCAGCAATCGGCACCCGCCACTGGTGGAGTACGCCGCATGCGTTGGACAACCCAGATGAACAGCAACGCATTGCGGGCGTATTTTAGGGCGAAAGGGGGAGAAACTGGAGGTTTTGCGTATCGGGCAAGGATGCATCGACTTTTTGCTGAGCTGGAGCCATCTGTAACCGTCACCGAGCAAAACCTGGCAGACCGAGTTCGGTATATCTTGCGCTCAAATACATTTGATGTCACCGAACTCGAACGGCTACGACGTGAGGCTGTTCCTTCATCGGGTGAAAATGCTGCGGCTGAGGATGCGGCGCCACAACTTGCTGAGCAAACGGCAAATGTGGATGCCGCCGTGAATACGCCAGTTGTGGTTGATTCAAACGATGATGGAACAGTCGCCCAGGAACTGGAACTAGAGCAAATGAGTAGTACATTGGAAGAGGCGATTGTGGAAACGCGCAGTACGACTCTCGAAAATCGACCGCGACTTCCCCGCTTAGCCCTAAGCAAGCGGAATCGGGCTGTCGTGAGGGCTCTGAACCCAATGCTGGTTACCTATTTGGAAGCCAGCCGGGACCTTTGCGATACGGACTCAATTCTTTTTGGCGCTGCACTGGCAGTCTGCCGTATTATAGGTGCCAAACTTTCCACGGCTGGACGCGCTACTGGACAAAGTAGTGCTATCCCAGCCTGGAGAATAAGAATTGAAGAACGTATCGCAAAGGCTAGGGCCCTCATCGGCAGACTGATATGCTTCAGGTCAGGCAATACCAGACCAAGGATTGTGCGCACCGTCAGGATGGCGTTTGCTGGGACAAATGTTAGTTTGTCCCAGCCGGATATAATGCAAAAACTGACGGAGCGCATAGACGACCTGAAGCAAAGAATAGCAGCTTGGGCAAAGCGGATTCGGCGATATACCGAGAGGTCGACACGGTTCAACCAGAATCGTCTCTTCCAGAGTGATCAGAAGAGGCTCTATAAATCATTGGAGCGACCAATAGTAAGTGGAACGGGCCCTGCACCAAATCAGGCCGACATGGTCGCATTCTGGCGCAGCCTGTGGTCAGAGCCCGTAAACCACAGCGAGGGCCCTTGGACGGAAGTTGTGGCGAGTCAGTGTGCGAGTATTACGCCCATGGACCCCGTCATCATAACGCCGGATGACGTAGCTGAGGCGGTCCGTAGGGCCCCGAACTGGAAAAGTCCAGGGCTTGACGGGCTGCATCACTACTGGCTGAAGGGGTTCATGGTGTGTCACTCTGTGCTCGCCCGACAGTTTCAAGAGGCTCTCAACCAGAAGTCGCTCCCAAGCCTCTTCACTACTGGGATCACTCATTTGGTTCCTAAAGATCAGGGTGCCACAGACCCGAGCAAATACCGCCCCATCACGTGTCTACCGACCATATACAAGACACTAACATCCATTTTGAGCGCAAGAATCGCTCGTCACCTGGACTTAAATCAGGTGATGTCGCGCGCTCAAAATGGATGTCGGGGCGGCGGTCGTGGAACCAAGGAACCACTCCTCATTGACGCGGTCATTGGCAAAGTGGTGAAACGCAACCGTCGGAACTTCTCCGCCGCCTGGATAGATTACAGAAAGGCATTTGACTCGGTGCCCCATACATGGCTAAAGAGGGTCCTCGAGCTGTACAAGATTGACTGTACAGTTCGAGACTTCCTCGAGCAGTGTATGGGGCAGTGGAGTACGATCCTCTGTCATCTAGGCGAGCGGATGACGGCTGCGGAAAGCCGCATAAGGATAAGAAGGGGTATATTCCAGGGCGACTGTCTGAGTCCAATCTGGTTCTGCCTCTCTTTGAACCCTCTCAGTACTTTACTGGAGGGCTCCGGGAAGGGATTTCAGCTTCGGAAAGGAGGTACAAAAGTGACCCACCTTTTCTATATGGATGACCTCAAATTATTCGCCTCCAGTCGCTCCCATCTTATGGAATTGCTAAACATCACTTGTGAATTTAGCAATTCTATTAGAATGGAGCTGGGGACGGATAAGTGTACGGTCCTCCATGTTGAAAGGGGAAGGGTTGCTAACTCTGAGGGCATAGACTTATCTATGCCCGTCAACTTAAGAACCCTTTCCGAGGCTGAAACATACCGATACCTGGGTATGTCACAGAACATCGGTATCGATGAGGCTGGTATGAAACAGTCAGTTTGCGACGTGTTTTATGCACGCTTGACCAAAGTGCTTAACAGTCTTTTGTCCGGTGTGAATAAGGCACACGCATATAGCGGTTGGGTCATTCCTGTCCTCATGTATACCTTTGGCATACTCAGGTGGACTCAGACTGAACTTAACGCCCTGGATAGAAAAGTCCGCACTACCATGACGTCCCATAGGATGCATCATCCGAGATCGTCGGTAATGAGGCTGTATTTGCCGCGGAAGCATGGTGGTCGTGGCTTCTTGAGCGCGCTCACCATGCATAATCGCGAAGTGTGCAGCCTCCGTGATTACTTCCTTGCGAGATCGGATGATCCATTCTATAAGGACGTCATTTCTTGTGATAAAGGACTTACCCCTCTATCCTTAGCCAACGAGCAATGGCAAGACCCGGCAGTGCAGAGCATTTCCGACCGGGAGACCGTATGGAAGGAGAAGGAGCTCCACGGGAGGTTCTACAAGGCTCTACATGAGCCTTTCGTAGACACAGTAGCCTCCCTCCACTGGCTACGCTTTGGTGATCTCTTCGGGGAAACCGAGGGTTTTGTCTGTGCAATACAGGATCAGGTTATTAAGACCAACAACTATCGGAGATACATCCTAAAGGATGGCACCGTCGAAATCTGACGAGCTTGTCGCCATCCCGGTGAGTCACTTAGGCATGTTATCTCCGGTTGTTCGGCGCTTTCTAACTCTGAGTACTTGCACAGGCACAACCTAGTAGCCAGAATTCTACACCAGGAGCTCGCTCTGAAATACGGTCTCGTGGATCGGAAATTGCCGTATTACAAGTACTTGCCGGAAGCCGTGCTCGAAAATGATCGCGCCAGGCTCTATTGGGACCGGGCCATCATCACAGACAGGACTATTCTTGCGAATAAGCCTGATATTGTGCTGATGGACCGGGCACAGTCAAGGATATTTTTGGTCGACATTACCATTCCGTATGACGAGAACCTCGTGAAAGCCGAAACAGACAAGAAAACAAAATATCTGGACCTGGCTCACGAGGTGACCGACATGTGGGGTGGTCTGCCGACCGAAATTATTCCTGTAGTCGTCTCTGCAAACGGGCTAATCCCAGTCAGCCTCTCGGGTCATCTGAGGCGGCTGGGACTACGTGGCGGACCGCTCCAGGTTCAAATGCAGAAGGCGGTGCTCCTCGATACCGCCCGCATCGTCCGCCGGTTTCTTTCCCTTTCCCACTAACCCTCGGCCGTTTGGTCTCCCCTGCCGAGGGCCTCCATCTGGTTGGGCTTTTACTTATTTATGTACTTTTATATTTATTTTATGTTATTGATAATTATGTATATTTATCTTTTCATTTTCATTTATAATTATATATTTATAGAACCCAACCAGATGAGAAAACTATATAGATACCCCATAATAATAATAACGGGGAAAACCGAGGGTTTTGTCTGTGCAATACAGGATCAGGTTATTAAGACCAACAACTATCGGAGATACATCCTAAAGGATGGCACCGTCGACGTCTGTCGAGCTTGTCGCCATCCCGGGGAGTCACTTAGGCATGTCATCTCCAGTTGTTCGGCGCTTTCTAACTCTGATTACTTGCACAGGCACAACCTAGTAGCCAGAATTCTACACCAGGAGCTCGCTCTGAAATCGGTCTCGGGAACTAAAAATTGCCGTATTACAAGTACTTGCCGGACACCGTGCCCGAAAATGACCGCGCCAGGCTCTACTGGGACCGAACCATCATCACAGACAGGACTATTCTTGCGAATAAGCCTGATATTGTGCTGATGGACCGGGCACAGTCAATGATATTTTTGGTCGACATTACCATTTCGTATGACGAGAACTTCGTGAAAACCGAAACGATAAACGAACAAAATATCTGGACCTGGCTCACGAGGTGACCGACATGTGGGGTGGTATGCCGACCGAAATTATCCCTGTAGTCGTCTCTGCGAATGGGCTAATCCCAGTCAGCCTCTCGGGTCATCTGAGGCGACTGGGACTCCGTGACGGACCGCTCCGGACTCAAATGCAGAAGGCGGTGCTCCTCGATACCGCCTGCATCATCCGCCGGTTTCTTTCCCTTTCCCCCTAACCCTCGGCCGTTTGGTCTCCCCTGCCGAGGGCTCCCATCTGGTTGGATCTTATTTATTTATGTAGTTTTTGTGTTTATTTTATTTAATTGATATTTATGTATATTTATCTTTTCATTTTAATATATAATTATATATTTATAGAACCCAACCAGGTGAGAAAATTATATAGATACCCCAATAATAGCAATAATAATAAACGTTTATTTCGGACATCACGATCCATATGGGTTAGTAACAATTTTTAGAGCTTATAACTAATGTTAGTAATTGACTATTGAAACATAACACATATAACATAAAACAAGGACAAACAGAAAAACCACACAAACAAATATGGCACCCGGCCCTGCCCGCAAGATGACTACTTGACTGCGTGCAGCCGTATCCATCGAGCAAGCATCGGCGAGTCCCAACGGTCTGCCAAAGCACACAAGATACTGTTGGGGCTGTCGCTAACTAACGTGTGAAGCGCAACGTTTACGCATTATGGCGGTGAAACCATCTACGTGAGCCTCCGCAAACATAGCAGAAGCGCTACAGAAACGCGGCAGCCCCATCAATACCCGGAACGCGTTATTGTATTGTACACGAAGATCATTGTATGTCATCTGCGTAAAGTTAAGCCACAGACTGCACGTATAAAATGACTGACAGTAAGCCTTGAAAAGTGTAATCTTTGCTTCGTCAGTATATTTAGCAAATCTGCGGGCCAACATATTACAGCGGACAGACAGGGACCTCCGCTCCCTCTCAATATCCTGGTTGTCTTTCAGGTCATCTGTGATCCAGTGGCCCAGGTACTTAAAGGTCTCAACTTTTTTTCAAAGGGGTTCCACAGAGCTTAAAAAGTGGCACATTAGTGTATCGCTTGTGGTCCGGATTGAACATCATGAATTCGCTCTTAACAGCATTATATTTGAGCCCCTGGGCCACAGCATAAGATTCGCATATAGTTAACATTTTCTTTAAGGCTGCACTTGATGGACTCAGCAGCACCATATCATCTGCATAACTTATGTTATTAATACAAACTCCGTCTATGTGGCAACCGATACCGGTACTGCTGAGCTCATCAAGGAGCCTATTCATATATAAGTTAAAGAGCGTAGGAGAGCTTAGACCACCTTGCCTCACGCCGCATTCTAATCTGTATTCTTCTAGAGCGAGCCAGCCCATCTGACATTGTTCTTTTGGTTGCTATACCAGTGCTGAAAGAGCAATATAACTTCTTCGGGCAGGCTAGTCTCAGATCTCATTTTATCCCACATGCGTTGGTAAGCCACTAAGTCAAACGCCTTTGATAGGTCCAGGTAGCAAGAAAACAGGTGTCTTTCTTGCTGTATAATACTGGATAGTCTGCTTGAGACACAAGATAGCACTCTCGGTGGAAAGGCCTGGTCTAAAACCGAATCGAGCATCATTGAGCGTGATGTGCTTATCCAGGAACCCGTTAAGCAAACTGTCCAGTACCTTAGCGATCACAGAAGCAAGGGAGATGGGCCTATAGTTGGACACATCAGAGGCGTCACCAGTCCTGTTTTTTGGAATAGGAATAACAATAGTTCGCATCAATTTGTCAGGGAGATATGAATGCCCAATACACAAATTAAACAACAAAGACAAAACCCTTGGCAAATGAACTCCAGCATGCTGCAGGTGTTCGATGCTGAAGTGGTCATGCCCAGGCGACTTGCCACTCACCATGTACTTAATGACTTTAGCTACATTTTTGGCGGTAAAAATACACTACGCTTCGGACTACCTGCCTCAACATCAGACACCAGCGGCTCTGCCCGTCCCAGTGGTGATTCTACTCTAAAGTATTCTCTGAACACATTAGCAATATCACTGGGATCACAAGCTCCCAAAACACTCTTTTCACTTCCTTTTTCACGATATTTGAAGTCAATAAAACGCTACTCCCTCCGGCCAAAAGGTTTCTGACATAAATAAATTCAATTTATGTTTAGGTACAAATATTTTGTACGACTCGTAATCTTTTGTTATTTTCATTTTCATCTTTTCTACGTTGACGTCAAGTTTATTTTTTTTCTTTACGTAATCGGTTATATCACTCATAGACACTCCCTTTGCCACATTATAAATGTATACCGGGACCTTAATCTCTGCCGCTCTGAGATTGTTTCCAGGCTCTGAAATAGCCTTCCCTCTGTATCCAGAAAAACGATTCCGCAACCTTTTCTTTTGAACCTTTATCCACTCATCACTACTTACTTCTGATCTCCAATTGCCTTCCCGGACAATTTCTGACATAGGCTTTGCATGTTCTACACTACGTGTATTCTGTAAATTCGTTGTGAGTACATCAGCGTTTACGCTTTTATTAACCTGCACTAATATTGGGTCGCTCGGTTTTATGCGTGCGGCGGCCGTGTGTGTTTACGTCCTCAGCTGTAGGCATCGGTGGCGGCGGCTGGCTCAGCTGAGCCTGTGCCGGGTGAGTCATCGTAACCGCCATCTCGGGTGATTCACGCAACTTACTATTGTCGGATAGCGGCGCGATACGACTACCTTCAGATGACTTTAATTTCAATTCCATGTCCCGATATATTGATTCTCGTAATGAGATATCGTTTACATCATTAGGCCCTTCACTGGGTAAGGAAGGCAATCCCATAGGACCACTTTGGCACTCGAAGCTATTTTGTAAGAAACCTCCGTGACGCAAGTTAATACTGCGCCCATAGTTATTTACCACCGACGTATCCTTAAGGATATTAACCTGAGACTTCAGCCGTTCTAAGTCCTCCTGCTTCGCACAGTCCTTCGTAATCATGCTGATATCTCGTTGCATTTTGACTATGTCTTTTAGAATTCTCGTCACATCTACATGGTTCCATAAGACGGAAGGGAGTTTTTCAAGATCCCTAGCAGTAAACACGGGAATATCTTCGGAATGTGTACTCCGTAGCAGACAGATAATATCGTCCAGATCCTTCCGAGCCTTGCCGTCCTTTTTTCGAGTATCTTTTCTCCGAATTATTTTGCGCGTCTTTTCCAGAATCGAATCAAACAACAAGTTCTTAGCCGTTTCAATATCACTTTCTGAGAAAGCATTCACACATATGTTTATAAGACTTTCGTCGTCCATAACATCTTTCTTGTTATCGATAAAAGCTAGAGTCTCGTTTATTACAATGTTGCAGCTCGAACATTTCAACACCTTTGAGGACATTTTAAATCCTTCACACACACAACACGCACAACGGACAGCGCGACCGGGTAGATGCGCGAGCGTCGCACGAATGTGTGTGGTTATTGTATTTCTTAAACATTCATCAATTGTATTGTGAACTATGTCGTCACATTTACATCATAAAACACTTCATTAATAAGTCATGCTAGAAGAAATGCTAAAATGTAATAAAACTCTTGAGTTTTATTACATTTTAGCATTTTTTCTTGCTATCTTGTTTCGACATAAGAGGGGTAAAGAATCAGTGTATTATGCGAAAACACAGAGCCACTCGAACTAACAATAACTGTCCTCATTAACCCTTTCGCAGTCCCATGTACTACACGTAGGTCATTGCTATTGTCTTACTATTGTGTCTGAAAATCGTACAGTGAAAGTGTAAAACTGAGGGGGTTATTTGCAGGCTATTAATATGAGAGCTAAGACATGAGTGACCATTTTTAAAATTTTGTCAGTCTGTCCGTCTGCTCTGGCATTACACATAATTATTTGTTATAAATTACTATGATGCATAAAAATTGTCTGTGATGATTAGGTATCTCAAATAAAAACAGCGCCATATTGAAAGATCCCACCCCAGAAAATATGGGAAGGGCCGCCAGTAAATCAAACAATTCAGTTATTTTCAGTTATGAAACTTTCCTGGTATCTCATTTGATAGTTGCATACCTATGTTGACGAAGAAACGGTTAAAGATTTTGCATACATTTGAGGGGTCCGTGGTTACTATTCAACTTTTAGCTATTAGGTTTGGGGGAACACAATTACTTAAAGTATTGTTAGTTGCTCGATTATTAATTAATTTTCACATTTTCTTGTGTTATTTTTTGTACGTTTAATGAATTCTAGAAATAGAGAGATTTTAGAAATACTTTACTATATATATTTTATTTTAGAATAACTTTAGAAATATTTTTGTTTTGAATTCTTAATCATTTGTACCAGCGTGTCTTTCTAAGATTTAAAATCAAGCTCTTGGTTATTATTTCTAGTACATATTTTCTTTAAACTTATACCATGATATATTTGTCGCGTTAATCTGAGCTATTATGCTGCCGTCAATCTATTCTTTTTGAGGTTAGTTCAACATTTTATTTTATTATTTTACTTTTTGGCAGTTATTTTTAGGATATGTTCTTCTAGAATATTGAAATTAAAGGAATATTTAAAAAAAATGACAATTCTATAATTTTATTCGATTTGCTAAAATCAGTCGCTTCATAAAATATTTTTTGGTTTTGGTAGAGGTATCACTCTTTTTATTTTAAAGTAAATGTTTTCTGATCCGACAGGGCTGACTCAATAATAGCCACATGAAATTTGTTACATATCTAGTAAGTAGGAACATGATCAACAAATAATTTTTTCATTATAGCTATAATATGGTTGTAGCACGAAAGGGTCGGCTCGATCGGGGAGGGACTCTCACGGAATACCATCGTAAAATAGCAACTTAATTCTGCTGTTTTTCCTATAGTGAGAGTAGAGAACCGGAGGCCCTTTTTACTGGAAACGAGGCATTGCATCGTAGTTCTCAGGAGTGATAACGCATCTGCATTTTGATTCTTATCCGAAGATAAATGTGACGAATGAACTGTGTGCTGGTTTGTTAAACCCATTCCATATAAAAAAATCGTGACTTGTACTTTCTTTTACGAAATATGCTATCGTAATATATTGTATTCGGTATAGTTGTGAACCACTCGTGTAGGTAGTTAAAATTTGGTAGTTCATGCGAAACACTGTTTACATGGCTCCACATTTTAAAATGTTGAAATGTTTTTGAGAAGTGCTAGAGATGTTCTTCATTTTTAATATTTTAAAAGTACTTAATACACTGACAATATATTTTTTTGCGAGACGAATCGCAAGAGGAGAAAAAATATTATCAGAAAAGCGTATTATTGTAGGGTAGCTAACACGTAGTGAGCGATGTTGTACGTAGTGAAGTGCGTTTAAATTGTTTCGGTTATGTTTTTACGAAAGTAGAAATAAATATAGTTAAATAGTTAATTTTTTATAGGAGAGGAGGCAAACGAGCATGCGGCTCACCTGATGTTAAGTGACTACCGCCGCCCATGAACAACTGCATTGCCGGTCTTTTAGAAAAGAGTAGGCTCTTTTCTAAAAGGCCGGCAACGCATCTGAAGATAGGCCCTCTCTGAACATAGGCGTCTCCTCAGGAATGTAAGCGGTAAGCGAAGTGTAGGGCAGTACGTCCCTAGATGAAGTAACGATCCAAACCGCAGAGATGCCCATGAGATGCTGAGAGTTGACGGATGTAGAATGATCACGACATTGCATTTTGGCATTCCTTTGTGGAGGTCTATCTTCAAATAATGAGAATAATTATTTAAAATTGTAGCACTTCATAAAATGTGATTTAATAATAAAATTTTATGTATTAGACGAAGTTGGAGTAATTCTACACCGGCAACTACCGATAAGCTATGATCTCAGTTACGTTTAACTTTGAGTAATTACGTGTTCCGATGGGCGTTACTTCATTAACAACTTAAAGGCTTAGCTTATAACTTCAAACTTCAAAGGTATTTTAGAATTAATCCGATAACGTTTAACAAGATTCGAAAATTGTAACGGTATTTTTGTATCATTTTAAAGTATGCGACGAGAGTTGATAATTCATAAGAAAATTTCTCACAACAGTGTTTATCGCTAAAGTATAGCAATTACATGTGAGTTTTAGCCTTTTTGTAGAAATCTCACTTTTTATCAACTATTGCTGAAAAGATTTTAGCTGACTTCAAAAAAAAGGATTTTAGTTCTAGTGCCATGTTTTAGTTGATACTTGGAGGTATAAGTTCCCTCAAAAGGGTTAAATAATTAAACTTAAATAAGTAAAACCAACTTAAATTAACCAAAATAATAATTTAATAGCTCCTAAGGTAGAAAGTAGGTACTTCAACTATTCGATACACTAGGTATGTAAAAAGTAAAAGTAAAGTTACAGCCTATACACGTTCCACTGCTGGGTACAGGCCTCCCCTTATTTCTGAGTGAGTTTTAGGGTAAAGGAATATCCGCCGCGCTCTCCAATGCGTGTTGACGAGCTTCACATGTCTACGAATTATTTTTTCTTATTTCTCAGACTTGCAGGTTTCCTCATGACATTTTCCTTCACCGCCGAGCACGTGATATAACAGCACTTAAAATTGCTAATTAACAATTTTATTGGTGCCGTCGGGGATCGACCCCGTTTTGCTCGAGTACTGTGTAATTTATAGCGAGCTTAGAGCTCAGAGCCATCAGAGCTACCACTGTTATGTCTTAGCACCGAGTTCGAATGCTTTTAAATAGCACTCTTTTTTTTAACGATTACCTACAATTGATACATTATTACATCTTTAAAGAAAGTTTATGGTAGTCCTCTTTATAAATGTACAATAACTTATCACAGCATGCTATTTAAATCTTTTAATTTGTTATTATATTTTATGAAGTCACTTTTAGTTTTTTTTTAAATTAATTAATATCATAATCTGGTTTACTTACATTGTGATTAAGCATATAATATAGACATACATTTATTTAGTATATACTTTGAAAATTTGTCCAAACTTGTCATAGTAAGCAGGTTGGCGTAACGGCGGCTCTTCACGTTGGCCAACATAGTGGCGAATGTTATGGCCAATACCAGTGGACATCATATAGAGCGGATATTTGAGTTTACCTTGGTATGTATTGAAATAGTGGTCCACAAGTTGGCGAAAGATCTGTGAGGTGTAGATTTTTTACAAAACATCAAAGGATTGTGACAGAATTTGGCCGCCGCGTCCACACGTTGGGCGCGCGTAACGCGCTTAGTTTGCTACGTGTTCCCAGAGTGATTGCACGCATCTGATATAAGTTTTATAGTCACGCTTTGTAGCTAGTGTCTACAAAATGGCAATAACAATGACGAATGAAGAAGCTTTTCGCTTTATAGAACTCTACCAAGCCGAAAATTGTTAGTGGTACTCAAAAAATAAATTTCACAAAAATGCCAATAAAAATAATAATTTCTTAAACACATTCAAGTATTGCAGTATGCTGTGAATAAATAAACACATTGGCCTGAACCAAAGCAAAGTGACGACCTTCCAACTTGTGAACGCCATCACAAACTATTGATACATGTAATACATACATACAATGTAATCCGTCCCAGAGGATCAGTTTACTCGTGTAGCGATGAGCAAGCTATATTGCATCCACAATAGTTGCAAAAGGTACTGCCATTTCATATTATGTACCAAAAAACCCACGCAAATTAATAGTATGAACTATAATGATTATTACATAAACAACTGTGTCGCTGAATTGTTTGATTTACTGGCGGCCCTTCCCATATTTTCCAGGGCGGGATCTTTCAATAAGGCGCTGTTTTTATTTGAGATACCGAATCATCACAGACAATTTTTATGCATCATAGTAATTTATAATAAATAATTATGTGAAGATAGACCTCCACCAAAGAATGCCAAAGTGCACTGTCGTGATTATTCTACATCCATCAACTCTCAGCATCTCTGCGGTTTGGATCGTTACTTCATCTAGGGAGGTGCTGCCCTACACGTCGCTTACTGCTTACATTCCTGAGGAGACGCCTATGTTCAGAGAGGGCCTATCTTCAGATGCGTTGCCGGCCTTTTAGAAAAGAGCCTACTCTTTTCTAAAAGACCGGCAATGCAGTTGTTCATGGGCGGCGGTAGTCATCATTACATCAGGTGAGCCGTATGCTCGTTTGCCTCCTCTCCTATAAAAAAAAACTATTTAATTTTATTTCTTTCTTCTTTCTTAAAAACATAACCGAAACAATTTAAACGCACTTCACTACGTACAACAACGCTAACTACCGTGTTAGCTACCCTACAATAATACGCATTTCTGATAATATTTATTCTCCTTTTGCGATTCGTCTTGCAAAAAATATTATCAGTGTATTAAGCACTTTTAAAATGTTAAAAATGAACAACATCTCTAGCACTTAAAAACATTTCAACATTTTAAAATGTGGAGCCATGTAAACAGTGTTTCGCATGAACTACCGAATTTTAACTACCTACACGAGTGGTTCACAACTATACTGAATACAATATATTACGATAGCATATTTCGTAAAAGAAAGTACAAGTCACGATTTTTTTATATGGAATGGGTTTAACAAATGAGCACACAGTTCATCTATCACATTTATCTTCGAATAAGAATCAAAATCACTCCTGAGAACTACGATGGAATCCTCGTTTCCAGTAAAAAGGGCCTCCGGTTCTCTACTCTCACTATAGGAAAAACAGCAGAATTAAGTTGCTATTTTACGATGGTATTCCGTGAGAGTCGCTCCCCGATCGAGCCGACCCTTTCGTGCTACAACCATATTATAGCTATAATGAAAAAATTATTTGTTGATCATGTTCCTACTTACTAGATATGTAACAAATTTCATGTGGCTATTATTGAGTCAGCCCTGTCTACTCTACCAAAACCAAAAAATATTTTATGAAGCGACTGATTTTAGCAAATCGAATAAAATTATAGAATTGTCAATTTTTTTAAATATTCCTTTAATTTCAATATTCTAGAAGAACATTTTCTAAAAATAACTGCCAAAAAGTAAAAAATAAAATAAAATGTTGAACTAACCTCAAAAAGAATGGATTGACGGCAGCATAATAGCTCTGATTAACGAGACAAATATAGCATGGTATAAGTTTAAACAAAATAAATACTAGAAATAATAACCTAGAGCTTGATTTTAAATCTTAGAGAGACACGCTGGTACAAACGATTAAGAATACAAAACAAAAATATTTCTAAAATTATTCTAATATTATATATATAGTAAAGTATTTATAAAATCTCTCTATTACTAGAATTCATTAAACGTACAAAAAATAACCCATAATCTAGCAATAATAATAATAAACCCAAATAATCTAGCAAATAACAATACTAGTAATTGTGTTCCCCCAAACCTAACAGCTGAAAGTTGAATAGTGACCACGGACATAAAATGTATGCAAAATCTTTAATCGTTTCTTCGTTAACATAGGTATGCAACTAGCAGATGAGATACCAGAAAAGTTTCATAACAGTGACATAAATACGTTACTTAACCTACACCAAACAACCGTGAGCTATCCCAATTTTACCCATGCACCGCTAATGAATTATCTAAAATCATGGATGACTTTGATTCAAATACGTGTATAGGTATTGACGGTATACGTACTAAAGTCGTAAAGTGTATAAAAATTTATATATTTCATAATCCAATTTATTGCCGTAACAAACTATTTGAATGAAGGAATCTTTCCAGAAAGTTTCAAAAGCCCTAAAGTCACACCAATGCACAAGCCCGGAACTAAAACAAAAAAAAGCTGTTCTGCCAATACCCTCAAAAATTCTTGAAAATATTATTTCTAAGAGATTGAACAGCTACTTGACTAAAATTATCTTTATGTATGACCAACAATATGGCTTTCGACCCAAATCTAACACCCTTGGCGCAACTATAGACGTCAAAACTCAAAATTGATTAAAAATAATTATCTTTAGGTGTTTTTGTTGATCTAAAAAGGCTTTCGGCACGGTCAGCCATTATTGTACAGCATTGGCATTACTGGAAACATATACAAAATGCTAGTCCTATTTGGATGATCGATCTCAGTCCTCAGAGGTGTCAACACATAAGAATTTTGATTCTTATATGAGGATAAGTGTTGGGAAGAGTACTATGTAAAATATGTGATAGTGAAAGCTGACTACTCTTACGAGAATAAATAAAAATGTGCAGTGTAGTAAAATGATTTAATACAGTACTATCTAGAATTAACTCTACAATGAAATCGTGCGATTAGTAACGTGAACTTCGTTCTGCACGACAGACGCGGCGACGAACCGCTGCTTTGCTCTTGCCTTCCCACACCGCTGTTAATACTACGCGATGCATTTAAACACAGTAGTGCCACGCGCAACCTTCTATTCACCAATGAGTGTAGATATCTATGCCATAATATCCACTTACTATCGCATCGGTGGACTGTCTGGTCGTTTTTCACCCTTATTCCATAAAAATCTATGGTCAAAGGATCAATGAATAATAATTAAATTTTAATTTAAAATAATTTTGAAGTTAGTGAATGCGATGGAGTTGTTATAAAGATTACAGAAGATCGCGTTTGAACAGGTTTATTATTTTATTTCGATTAAAATAAGCTAATAAAATAAATACGAACGTAGCACTTAAGCCCAGCTGGAAGGGTTCGTGAAAGAAAATAATGAAAGATTTTGCGATCGGTTATTGCGTACGCTGTTATCGGCTATTATGTGTGATGGTTTTACCAATAAGATACGGTAATTTTTTTAAAGTAAGTTTTTTAATTCAATTCTGAAGTGATAGACAAACTTACAAAGTGTTAAGTTACTACAGCCCATGGAAACCTGCAACCTGATAGATTCTATCAAGATTCCCAAGTTTTTCACTACATCCTTATAAGAAATTTGAACACCGTTAAATGTTATAGGGTTTAACTGAGTTTTATTTAATTTGGAGATTATTCTTGAACTACCAATAATAATAGCTTGGGATTTTATCGGATTAACAGTTAACCCATAAGATCGACTCCAGTCAAGAATACACGCTAAGTCCTAGTTTATATCACAAATTTCTTTTGGCAGATCCTCTACGGTTGTTTGTAGATATATCTGGAGATCATCAGCATACAAGTGGTAGAGAGAAGATATTCTGGAGGTAATAGAATTTATGAAGAGTGCAAATAAGAGATTGGGACGGGATGCGA